ATATATCGAATATGTGTTTGCGCCTAGGAACGTTTCAACACTCACGGATCGGAGCTGTCGGCTCTAACCCGAATGTCGATCCTCGAAAATGGTCTGTGCGGGGTAGCCGGACGGGAACGGGCGGACAATAATCCGGCGGGGCGAGTTTCTGTCATGGGGACAAAAAGTCGCAGGTCTCCAGTGAACACACTAGTTGCTGATTGAAAGAGCAGTAGGATAATACAGCATTCTTTACCTTGGAGTCCGGTGCCAACACGAATTAGAAGTCTGGCGCGATACGTAGCGCGCAATTAAAAGTGGTCGCGCGGCGCCATTGAACCGCTTCACCGGCGCTCCCGAACCTGTAAACAAAGATCAACAACCACTATACCACCATCCTCACCGTTTTCGAAGCGAACGGGCTACACGAAAAATGACAGCGTAAACCCCCCATTTGAACTAACATCAGCCGACATCAACAAAGAAAGATGATTCTAGTATGCCCACCCGGCTCTAGGCTCAGGAGAAGGACGGGTCGAACATCACCGACGGATCGATATCGTGGCAGCATACCTGTTGAACTTCGAGCACAAGATAAGCGGCTGGCCACTCTGAGGACACGGCGGATCGCGGTCGAATATCGTGCGGCAGCGATGAATTGAATCATTGTGCTGAGTGCGTGCGGACGTACCGGTGTGTTGCAAGACACGGTCTGCTACTAATAGTTGAATACGAGTCGCGGGAATAACGGAGAGCTATATACGGGGTTATGACTGGGTTTTCGGTGGGCCGTGGCCCTATGTTAACGACCAAGAGTCAGCCGGGAAGCTGTGTCCTTCGGGCGAGGGTACAGAGGGTAGAACCGAGTTGCGGCCGGCTTAAGCCCCAAACTCCAATGAATGACCACAAGGTCTGAACCAACCCGAGGCGGCATTCTCTCAGCTTTGACGGGGAGGGCGAGGCGCTCCTGTGGGACTTCAAAGGACTGAGTTGTTCGGGGCCCTTCGACACACGACGAAGTCTGCGGATATCGCGCAGAATCTTTCGTGCCTAATAATCCAACAGCCTGACTGGAGTGGAGCGTCACACTGCGGAGGCTGTTCAGAGTCGGGTCAATGGTGTATTTCATTGCCGTGTCCAGGAGAGAGCCTATACACCGCATCGCAGGAAACAACAACCAATATGTCAATATGTGTTATATGGAGATCTATGGAACAGTGACCAGTCCGAATCCCAGGTTGAACAGGACACACTCCAATGGCCGAATGTCTTCGGTGTTTTCAAGTATGATGTCGGATATTAGAGCTGTTGCTTCTCGCTGTATGAGACAGCATCAACATGACGGGGAAAGATAGTCTTAAACAACAATGAGGAAAAATACTACTACGAGTTGCGATTTGATAAACTCACATTTATGATGCATATCTCAGAAGGACACAACTTCATCTTTGCCTGGAATGTTGTCTACGCACGTTGTTCCTGATTGTGTAGTGGGGTCTGACATGATTTTTTGCCTTGTGTGACAACAAGTTACTTCGAAGTAGCGAGTCTTCTGGAATTGGTGTTAAAACGTGTTAACCCGCACAGCATACACTTACTACGAATCTGGTCTATCTCTCTTTGGATGGACAGTATCGGCAGTAGCGTCAAAGATAGACAAGATGAATTGGAATGTGACCTGCCAGCTCTCCTGATCCGTGTGATGGACACATCTGGGGGTTTATATCCTTCTCTTCTGTTGCTGTGCTACTCATATGCGGATAGCAACTCAGTCAAAAGTATGTTGCTCGATGGCCAAGATCAGCCTGTGAGTACACCGACAAGGCCTGCAAGGATTGATGCGCCCATCGCTCAGCCCGCTTAGACGATGTTGGCGGCCGATCAAAACTTCATGCAGAGGCGATTGGCATATCTCATGTGCAGGCGATACCTATAGTAGTGACGGTCAAAACCACACAGCAGAATAGGAATAGTTGATCCCCGTGTACCTTTGTAATGCGGCCAGTTATGCAGGCTAGATGACTTTAACCTGGCGGTTGAGAACGAGCTGGTTTTTCGAACACCGAAAGCGCTCGTATTACGGCTGCCTTGCTCAACAGGGCTGTGGCAATGCAGAAGTTTCTGGCATAGTGACGAATCAAAATGTGTTTTTGCTGACCTTCCATGGTCCATCAGAACGCCATTACACGTCAGAAAGACATGGAGGTCCACTGAGAAATGGATGAATCGGAATTGAATTGAACCAGTGATTTTGCAGCAACAAGAATAAATTCCGTTCATGGTCCTTTGGGAGGATGGTTATGCGGCCGCCTTGACCCTTGGTACTAACACTGACGAACACAACGGAACATCAAAGGGGCTCATTGTGTGGTAGGCCGCAGCCGTCTTGGTCGGCTGCGCGATGACAATGCAGAATTCGTTGACGCATGCATCAGCAACAAATATAGAAATATCGAGGCAACAGAACAGGCATGCAGAATCGAATCGGATGGCGTTTATCTTATCGTTCGCATGCAACCATTTACCCTTCTCTCCTCGGCATACAGACGATGAACACCGACCGGCTCTCCGTAAGAACCCCCTGCCGCTATGCCAATATCTCCAAATGGTATTTATTGACACTCCAACAGCTGAGTCCTGCTGCACTTGCAAATCATTTTCTTGATCATTCGCACGTCTTGGACACGTGTGGTGCAGATATAGCAGCGCGGGCTCCTTCTTGGCCGCACTGAAGGGCGATTTTCCCGCATTGCGTGCGCTTCTAGGCCTTGAATGTGGGGCTTAGAGGTGGAAACAAGTCTCTGTTTGACTACGAAGTTGACCGAAAAGGAGATGCGACGGAGCCGTCAGCAAGGCTTCCCAGGACGTTGGGCGTTCCAGGTTGTGTGCAGGCATTTGATGGTTTGCGGTCTGGCCTCTAATGCGGCCACCCAAGATCATGGCGTTTGCTTTGACCATTGTAAAGGTCGTTTTGATGTGCCGTTCTCCATTACACTTAAGTCAACCTACCCACTTCCGGAACACGATTTACACTAAAAAAAGCCAATTCTAACACTTTATAACTAATTAACTACTAATATACCTAACATGAAATTCTATAACATGTGTGGTGCAGAAGTTCCCTTTCGTCAAGCAAGCTCATGCACTAATGCTCATGGGAGACTCTCCCACAGGAGATAGCGTATCTTGGCAGTTGAAGGGCTCCAGGTGTGCACTAATGCTCGTGGGAGACTCTCACACAGGAGATAGCGTATCTTGGCAGTTGAAGGGCTCCAGCTGTGCACTAATGCTCGTGGGAGACTCTCCCACAGGAGATAGCGTATCTTGGCAGTTGAAGGGCTCCAGGTGTGCACTAATGCTCGTGGGAGACTCTCCCACAGGAGATAGCGTATCTTGGCAGTTGAAGGGCTCCAGGTATGCACTAATGCTCATGGGATATCCACTCATAGGAAATAGCCCGGCCGAGGTACCGAAGACAGCGTATCCTGTTCGTCATCCTATGAGAGGCCACCCATATACAACTTGCCTTACTCTACTACACACACACCAGGTACACTGAAACAAGTAGCATACTAGAGTACCTACCAATCCACGCAATCTTAGAGGGAGCGGCCTGGCGGCAAGTGTCTTCGCAATCTCAATTGTGCTAGGGGGAGGACATATACAAGATTGGAGTCTGATTGATTGATTGATTGATTTATTCCTACTCGGTTATGGAGCCGCTCTTTAGTCAGCAGCTATGCCCGGATAGCGGGGTCCGGCAGGCAGCCGAAGCGTTCAGACGTTAATCCGAGCCGCCCCACTTCGCCAATGCAAAACATTGACCAGCTGTCCCCAAAATTCCCGCTTTGCACTTCAACCTCTATCTACATTTGGCTGGTCCCCTCGTGTAGACTGCGGTTCCTACTAATGTGATCTCTATGCAAGGCTCTGTCGAGGCCTGGTACCTCGTATCCTGGTTCTGCGTACCTACAGTCTCCCCCCAATGTTCAGCTTTGTCTGGGTTATGACTCGATCCTGAATTGCCCAAGGATCTCGGTCTGTTCCATGAATCTGATGGCTTTCGCGGCTGCTTTGCGCTCGTTCAATACGGCCCGGAGGTTATGTCGTCCTGGGATGGATCCGAGTTCCTGGCGTCGGAGTTGTCGAAGTCTCCGTCAAAGAACGGCGTCCGCGTTGGCAGAACGCCTCATCAAGACCTTGTGGTCCCGAGGGTTTGCCGAGCACAACCCATGCACCTACCCCTAACAAAATACGTATGTAGCTCAGTTGGGACGGGGGCATTTCCCTGTCTCTGGGCGCATTGCAATTAGTATAATGGTGGCGTGGGATTAGGTACGAATGCTTTAGCGTACCCGCACTCGCAATGGACAACAAGGGCACTATTGAGCTCACCCTTCTTGGTCTGGACCCGCTTGCTTCGCCATTTCCGCACTCTTGACCTATTAAGAAAAGGAAATGTTGTGTTGGAGTCAATCTGAGTTGTGGGCAATATGCATGACGTTCAGACGGTGCGGTTGTATGTGAATAGAACCTGTCTGTCACTCCTTGATTTGAAAGCCAGGGGTGCTAAACCGTGCAGGGGCCGGGGAAATAGCCAGTCACGCCTTTGAACATGGCCTGTGCGGAGAATGACCCTGAAGCGCCGTCGAAGTGACAAAGACCAGGTACATAGTGCATGGAACTGAGCCTGGAAGTAGCCGTTAGCAGACATGGGAGCATCGGAACGCTTATTCCCTTGCCAGACGTCACATATGTTGGCCCGTTAACATTACCCAAACAAATTCGACACATTGCCATCCATGCCCTCCTCCGCTGGGAAATAAGGCAGCCAGACAATTCAGCGACTGCATCCCGGATGTTTCCGTAGCCAATCTATGGAAAATCCCCCTTGGTGTGCACTATTTATTGTGGAGAATCACCGTGCGGTGCCCAGCAAAGACCATATAACTAAAAGACCTCTCTTCTTCGAAAGTGCTTACTGCTCCTTCATCAACTCATTCTATCACTTCTTTGCGACAATGGCAACTTACTATGGCATGGTGACGACCAAGGAAGATGCCATCACAATCATCAATGCCTGCATCGTCGGGTGCCTCCCTATCTTTCAGCGCCAGCTAAATAATAAAGAGTACCAATTTATTCAGCCAGGAACAGTTTTCGTATGGGATCGAAACGAATCGGCTATACAGACATCAACCGACGGAAGGCGATGGAACAGCTACCGAAAGTCGGGACCCTTCGAGTGGTTTTTTGAAAAGCCATACAAGGCAGTCGGTTTAATCAAGACGGTATTCAGTACCGATATGAGCGGCCGTTGCTTCCGCCTCGTCTGCTACTCAAAGGCGGATCCTAAGATTCCGAAGCATCAACAACCAAGCCAAGACAATGACCTTAAGCAACGCATCGCAGCAAGGACCAGCCACCTGAACAACTACACTACGTATGTAACGAAGGAAGAACCGAAAGTGCACCAGACTCTGTGCATGCCGCAAAAGTACCTCCCAGAAATCAAGCCTCTGCAGACCGGCCCTTCGCGATGCGTTCAGTTTCCATCATCGGTGGCCACCCCTCAAGAACAAGCAGCTTCACTTTGCTCTGGTTCAAGCTCGATCAGGAAGTGCGAAGTCGGAAGTGAACGCTGTTCTGTCCCTGTCTCTACCTGGACCACTCTGCTTCCAGCCGATCCCTCCTTCGGCCTTTCATCTCAAGTCCCTTGCATCACTCAGGGAATATCAAGCAAACCAGAGGTGGTGAGAACAGATTGGTCGCAGAACCTGGGCTCGGCGAACCACTTGGCGTCTCCACAGAACCAGGTAGACGACACTGAAGAGTCAGTGAAACACAAAGATGTCGACGTGGTCCCCTCCACAGACCTCTTACACGATAGGCTCCTTGAAGTGGAGAATCGCCTCTCTGAAGGCATCAACACCTTGGGCAATGGAGAGTACGGCCATTTGGGGCAGGCAACTCTGGAAGAGTATGTTTCGTGGCTCCGATGCCTAAACATCATTCATTTATGCTACTGCGACGAACCTAGCTCCCCGCTTGGGCTAGGGTCAAGATATACCTTTGCTCGCGATACAACGAGCGGCGTCGACCTTCTCAAGCACGCCTTCGACCCGATAATACTGAAAGCCATGCAATATGTACGGTCGGTGGCTTTGAACACGCAGACCGACTCACGTCTCACATCAAAGGGGCCCGTCATGTCAAAGGAGCAGGAAGAGATCCGCGCATCCTTTGAAGGGTGGTATGACGCCTTCTTAAATTCCGACCGGCTTTTACCTGGAAGCTGGGGCATGATCCGCGCGGAGGCGGATATGAAGTACCTGGTGGCAATTATCTGTATCAGGGCCTGCCACTTCCACGATGAGTCTGTGTACGACTGTTTCAGAGTCAGTTTCCAACGAATAGTAGAGCTCGTGGGGCTGATTGTAAAGGGGCTCTCCGCTGTCCCTTCAGAGCCAACAAACTACAAGTTGGACCCAATGACGCACTGTTTGCCGTTCCTTGAGTTCGTCATCCTCAAGTGTCGTTGCCTTGACATACGATACCAGGCCTGGCAGCTCGTCAAGAAGCTTGCTACAGACGAGAGCGAACCGGTGGTCTGGGGCAATCTTCTTCTCGTTGGGGAACGAATAATATTGAAAGAACACAATATCAAAATCGGGGAGCCAAACGGTTTCCAGGTCGTGGAGCCAAACAACACCAAGATCGTAGAGACAAGCTGTTACTATTTCGGCCAGTTTCCACTTCCAACCGAAGCGATACGCATCAAGGACTACACAACTGATCGGGACTTCTCGGGTTTGGGCACCGTTCAGAGAATCAACACGCATACGTCAACTAAAGCCCATTATCTCGCTCGATTGCTGCTCCGGTGTGGCAGCGGTGAGCTCAGCGATCTCGCAAAGTGGTTGGAAGGCAAAAGCTCGTCTCCATAATCAGTGTTGCGCCCTAGATACTTCGTCCCAAACCCCACTTCGGCTGACACGCGCAAGTACCCTTACCTGGGTCCGAGGAGTGCATCATTGAATCATCCAACATCACCCCGAAACTCAGTATCGAGACCCTGTTGTAAGGGCCCGACCAGACTATCAAGGCCCCCATGTCGAACTCGATTCCGGCCGAAAGGTTGATTGAAGGTATTCGCCACACTTCGAATGATTCAGGAAGCATGTGTTCAACGGAACCCGCCAACGGCTACAACCAATATTTTCTGGTTGATGGTATTGCTCGCCAACGGGTGGATCAATACAAGCATTTTGTATTTGTTAGCGGAAGCGAGGGCAAAGCATAGTAAACTGGGTGCAGGCTGTCTCTTGTATTCTTTGTGTGGTATGTGCCGGTGGTATTCGGTCATTCTTCTTCAGGAATGACCAAGAACATGGCCGATACCTACATAAGCCTGCTTAAGTTCGAGACTCTAGGCACGAGAATGGTTGAGAATGATGATACTAGTAACCTTTTGGAACTGTTCCCGTGACAGTCAAGATGACCTCTCCAAGACTCACTACACTACGTCTTTTATCGCTTTTCCGGTGTCATCCTTATTTGTCGACACGATGTTTAGATATCTGTCTAGGTTTGGCGCTTGGTAATTTCATCGATCTAGATCAGACTCGGCTCTTCTCTCTTTTTGCAGTATACAAACATGTGTGCGTTTGAAGACAATAGACATACAGACATCACCTGAACAGGATGGCACTTGACAAGCTCCGGTCAAATGTGGCTCGTTCCACGTGGAGCCATCGTAGGCTGAATGCTTCGCTTCTCAGACCACTACCCGGTCACTGATGCACAACGGCGACCTACACTACATTACTTTACTGTTTGTACTATCCATGACTTAGCCTCTTGGCTTATGTTTCGCCGACGAAGTAGTGAACGTTTTCGCGCGGCTCTCGATGTTCCAGCTGGATGGCTTTCAAGCGTCCGACCACACAAACTTGGCATTTGACGTGCAGAAGTCAGCATTGATTGCCCAGTCACTAAATAACGCCAACCCCTCTATGTGGCTCAGCCGCGCCACCCCCACAATGACCAGGGAACAAAGGCACTGGGGAGGGCGGGCAAGCCATCTGTTGAGCAAGGTCTCCCGTCTAGGAAAGACGCTGTGGCTGGCAGATGAAGCAGCAACGACAAACTCGAGGCAGAGGAGGTGCTTGAGGTAACAGCAATGCTTGGAGAGGCAGTGATGGAGGAATTGCCTGCACATTTGGACGAGGAAGAGGACGAATATCAAGGCCGCTGTTGGGGCATCTTCAGCATTGGCGATGCAAAAGGAAAGGACGCGGGGCCGAGCCGGGCACGCAAGAGAAGGCGCTGGGCACGTGACACCTGAGGCAGGGGTCATTTGCTGCCACTTCCGTCAAACAACCCGCAATCGATCAATACGACCTGGCCTTGGTACTTTTGGGTCAGGGAAGGTCATTGCAGCTCTGCCAGAATCCTTCTCAGCCGCGAAATCCATCGAATGGCTACTTTAGGCCGAACTCACGGTAAGTGTTGTTTCGCCAACATCACACGAACATTCCAGGCCTCTTCTGGCTTCGGCGTTGGGCCGTCCCTTCTATGATAGAGTGCCATTTACAGGGGCATGCTGGACTCACTGCCAAGGGTACGGGCACTGTGAGGTGTAGCACGGGTAATCTGCAGCATGTCAATTAACCCCATGCAGGTCTGCGCCGTGAACCTGTTGTGGATTGTCCACCTGTGCCGCTTCCCCATGCTGGTTAGTGCCCCACAGCCGTGTTTCCGCTGCTTTATGAGTGGCACTGCGCTCGACTTCCGATTGCCAAATTCACTGTGCTCCTCTTTCTTATTCTCCAAGCGCGCATCGATGGCTCAAGCACAAAAGCCCGCTACAGTGCCACATGGTCACCGTGATCCAGACGAGACAAATAGGGTATTTCTGTACGATGCGCTGAAACTCGAATCCCGCTTACGTTGACAGCCGCCGAATCCACCCGCATCATGGATTCTCATTGCCGAAGCTTTCGATCAAGCAGGAAATGCCGTACAAGACCTTAATCCAAAGAAACTGTGCACGATTGAATCACTGGTCGATGTTCTTAGAAAATTGCAAGAAGTAATAGTTACGAAACTATGAGAATGTTGAAGTGGCCTAATTATGCGGGACAGGCTTGTTGGAGTGCCGGTGTTTGTTACATGCAGTTATAGTTTGAGAATCATTGTGCAATAGGCGCCGGCTTTTTCAGAGAAACACGAAAATATCAGCGTTTCCTGCGTGTCAGTGCGGGTGTCCCTTCGACGTGGAACATGCTGATTAGTGTGCGTCGACAGGCCCTTTGGAGACCATCTTGCTGTCACCATCTCGGCGGTGCGACCCCATGTTGAAGTAGGGCCAGGAGATGATACGGACGCGTACCATGCCGGTCCGAGACTATTTTAAAGACGGAAGGCAGAAGAGTAGCCTCCCAACAAGCACCTGTGTAGAGCAGCCAGCTGTGGTTGGTGGCTAGGTAATATGAGGTGATTTATCTCCCAGGCGTTCTTGCCACGTCCCGTTCTGAGGAGTCATGGTGGCGGGAAATGAATAACTGCTGTTCGCTGGACCTTGAAAAGAAAAAGCAATAATCCGGAGGCTGGCAGAAGGCCACATGCGAAGTTGGATAGAAGCACAACTAAACGAACCCGCGAAGGAAGTGATGACGAAAAAGGGGGTTCGTGCCGTAGCACCCGATTAGGAATGAGCTTCTCCTTCGTGACAAGATCAATTCGGAACAGCAGCTCTCCACCTCGGCGAAGCACGAAGAGTACTGGCGCTCACACCTTGGAGATGGAGTGTCAAGGTTGTCGCTTGTTGGTGTTGACCGCTGACCAATCGCGGGGTAGCCGGCGACTCGAGAATGGATGTGCCCCGCCGGATGGCCGTGGAGCTGCCGGTCGACAGATTGGGCGGCAAACATATTCCCCAAGACGCTGCTCACCGACAGCGACAGAATGGCAGAACGGTTCATCAAGACCGAATGGTCCAAGGGCTTGGCGGTCGCGATCTGCGCGCCCGCCGACCCCGGCTCACGGGGCCCATCTTGACATTTGTGCAGTTCGGCTGGGATGGCAGCACTTTCCTGTCTGGGCGCATCGCACGGTGGTGTTAGACTAGGCCCAAGGGCTCAGCAAAACCACACGCGCAATACTGAGCCCACCCTTCTTTGTCTGGACCCGCTCGGCGGCGCTCCCATGTTCTTGCCCGATAGGTCGTAGTGAAAGCTGTCCTGGAGCTAATCTACTGGCGTCGAACCAGGGTGCCTCTCTGTGGGCTGGGGACCCTGTCCATGACGTTCAGACGATGTGGTCGTATAGAGACCTCCAAGAGACCTCCAACCGCCCTCCCCCTTGATTCGAAGGAGGGTGCTTCAGCCGTGCAGGGACTGAGGGTAGCGATGCACCCCTAACCATTCGCAGACAGGGGTGTCGCGAACGCTTGTCACTTGCCAGGCCCCGAAAAATTGACTGCTTCTGTGCGGCAACATGGGTCGCTTCGCATGGCAGAGAACCAATCACACGCACCCAGGCCTCCTCAATTCCAGCCAATCACATGTTCGTCCGCCAACGACATCTAGACAGCTCGTCTGCTGCTGGTGACCCGCGGCAACCTCCATTTCGTCGGGATGCGAATGATAGAGGAGGAATATCTGGTCAAATCGTAACACCGAGTAATGATGGTCTGTTCCAGCTGCCGTCAAGGAAATGCGTATTAGGGACTATACCACCGATCAGCGCTTCTCAAAATTGGTCACTGTTCCGGCTGTTGATACGGAAGGCCAGCCAAGGTCAAATTTCTTATAACAAGAAGCTGCTTCTCTGATGTGGCAGCGATGAGCTTGCCAGACTTGTGCGGCATCGTAAAAGTAGAAGTCCCTCACAATAAGAGTCCTTGTTCGCCGCGAAACCTTGAACAGTGCAGTATTGCCAAGTATTCACCAGTATGAACAGTCGATCTGATCAGTTGCCTGTTTTGGCTTTCCGCTATCTTTATCGTCCGGCACAGATACATCCATTAACATATCCCATTCCGTGAGCCGCCATGATCAAATTGAAGAAGTTCAATGTGGTTTCGATAAGACAAAGCACCTAGAGACAGCGCTGCCGTCAAAGCCATCAAATCAAATAACGCCAAGATTTAGCTGATTTGACTGCCTCTTCGCCAGTATTGGTTGATTTGGCTTATTGGCCAATGTGTCAAATCAAATCCGTAGAACACGTGACCAGACAGCGCTAGCACCGATTACCCGACTAGGAAACAAGTGAAGCTATCTACTACTGGTCACGATGCCACAAATGAGCCAACCTCAACCCCAATAGGTATAACATTCCCCTTCAGCCAATTCTTCATCAGCTGCAACTGACTCATCATCTGGGGCTTTATCGAGTGCCTTTGTGACGTCAGGGTCAACTTGGCAGTACTAAACGCCCTCTCACAGTCAGCAGCCATGGCTGGGATTGCGACTACATCAAGAGCCAGCTTGCTGAGGAGGGGGTACGTCGACTGGTGGTCTCTCCACCACTTTATAGGATCCTCTGTAGGTTGAGGAGGTTGCCTGAGGTACATCTCAAGCTCATCTTGCTGTCGAGATGTCTCACAACTACGTCTACTCTGTACCCATTGCCTGAAGTGACCGTCTTCGTGAGATGGCAGTGTGATCTCGATAACAGACCTAGGGTTGTCAGAGACTTCCTCTGACCTATACCAACGGTCAAAGTAGTCTCTAAGACCCTTCTTCGCGTCGCGAACCCACTCAAGCTGAACCCCTTCGTCCCAGACTGCCTCAAGGTATGAGATACCAAGTGAAGGGTGTAGAATAACAGAAGCAGCAAACAAGGGAGACTCCTCCAACCTCGTGTAGTAGGAGGAGAGCTTCTGCCAGGCCAACTCAACAGAAGTACGGAGGTGCTCTTGGTATTCGGATGAAAGGCCCCGAAATCGAGAAGTACGTTGACTCGAGTGCTCTCTTACATGTTGCGGAAGTAGCGATGCCTGATGCGGCTGAGTCTGGCCGCTAAGTGACGATCGAATAGGACGCCCTGACCGAGTCTGTGATGGTTGGGAGTCTTCCTCAGCAGCCAGCTCGATCGTAGACTCTTCTTCCTGCTGAAAAGCAACAGGATAGAGAACAGAATTATACAGATTCTTCCAATCCTCAAGATGTTCAAGAAGATACTCCATGCCAGTCATGACCTCCCAGAGACGACCATGCCCATCCCCCCTACCCCATCCCTCCGTCCTCTTCGTCTGAAGGTAGAATGGCTCAAGGATAGACGTAACTTCAACCAAGACTTTCCAGTCCTCTGAAGAAAGGATGTCATCGTCAGGTATTCTCTTATGGGCGTCATCCTGCTCCTGGACCCAGTTGACGTAGGTCTCCATTTCTGCCCTCTTTTGAAGAGCTCGATGGATCATGAGGTATGTGGAATTCCATCTCGTCTCGTTGTTGAGGAGGAGGTTTGACTCCCGAGACCCCTGGGTAAATAGCTCGAAATCTGACCCAGCATCAACCTCTTGGGCTGCTTTCTTGAATCGCTCAGATCGTTGAGGGGAAGCCCTGATGAACCTGACGATGTTGCGAAGCTTGCCAACAGGCCCAGTCTTCCTCCATAGTCTTAGATCTTCCTCCTCATGTTGGACAGTCTGGTAGAAGAGTGACTCGGCCTCAAAGATTTCGCGATCAGCACCAAAAAGGAGAGCTCGTGCCACCAGGTTGAGGATGTGGCCGTAGCATCGCATTCTCCTGGCCTCACAGTCACCCTGACCCATCGAAGGGTTGAGTCTCCTGAAGAGGGCAGAGATGCAGGTATCGTTATTGCTGGCGTTGTCGCAGACAACCACACCCACTTGGCCAGTGATATCCCATTGCCGAAGAGTCTCATAGAGGTTGTTGGATATGTTGAGGCCACTGTGATCACCACTTATGTGGTTGAAGGCAATGAGACGAGACTGATGCCGACTCACACTGTTGAGGAAGTGGGCAGTGACTGCAAGGTAGGCGTAATTGTTGGGTGATGTCCACAGATCGAACCCAATATGGATCCTGGTGAGGGCATTGGAAAGTTCAGCCTTGACGTAGGACTGGCCCCTTAGGAAAAGGATAGGTAGATGGTCCATTATTGCAGTCCTGCCCCATGGCACTTGTTCAACCAGGGAGGGGCTGTGAAGTCGTAGAAGCTGTTGGACGAAGTTGTCCTGAAAGTGGTCGAATGGTAGGTCATTAGTAATGATAATAGAGAGGCAGAGCTCTCTGACGGTGGCCACTTTGGCCTTCGGTACGTTGGATATCTTCCTCCTTTTCCGCGAAGGAGTACCATCCTCAGAGCTATAGAGAGTCTCCCCTGAGCTTGAGTTGTCGGAAGGATCTGATTGTGTGATCTGATGGCATCTGTATACAGATCAGTTAGGAATATTCATATCAGAAGAGATACACATACCTTCGAAGGTGGTCTGCAGCAGAACTAGAAGCAGCAGCAGAGAAGAACTCTGGCTTTCCGTTGCTATCACATCGTTGACAGCACCAGTAAGCTGCATTTGGCCCCTCAGCGCCAAGCTCAACAAGAAAGACCCCATGGTCTTTGATCCAAGTCTTCCTCCCCCTCCCTCCTTTACGTGCCAGCTGCTCTTCAACCACATATCTCTTGTTATGCCACGTGATCGTAGGGAGGTCGAGTATGCTTGGATTCGAAGGAAGTACGACAGAGAGACTGTTAGCCACTTGAGTAGTGACTCTAGTTGGGGATCGAAGTCTTTGAAGAGCGTTGGTGGCCAATGCAGTAGGGGGCAATGTCTGTGAGGCATTGTTGATTGTGTTTAGTTCATATAACTGTTCATTACTAGGGTGTTTTAAAAGGCCAGGAAAATGGATAGGGACGCCCTTATAAAGAGGCAAGGAATGGGAGAGGAGGGGGGAGAAGAAACAATTGCTGACGTACGGTTGGACTCATCATGGCCAGAGTGGCCAAACCCAGGATGCTGGCGATGTTGGTGATGTTGGTGGCTTATAAGGAATAAGGAAGAGGAAGGTACGTGGGAAGAGGGGGATTCGAGCCCTTTTATACCCACAATCAACGTCTCTTAGATTCACAGATCACTCAAGAGCATCAGTCGCCTGAAGAGGAAATTCATCTAGAAGGGCAGAAAAAGAACGTCGCGAAGCTTTCAGAATCAATGGTGCTGCGAGTAGAAAAAGAAAGCTGACCGTGTTGGGCGTGAATATTCGCGATGGGAGACATCTCATTGGCTATATGCACGCTTATATAACAAGCCAAGCCAAATCAACCCAATCTATCAAATTTGGGTGGTCAAGGATTGTTTATTTGATAGTTGCGAATTGCCTCAATTGTTTAATTTATTTGATTATTGGGTTAGTAGATTGGCTTTGGCGGCAGCGCTGCCTAGAGATCTAAGATGAAGGCTGAGAAGCGGCAGACCTTTCCCCCATCAGCATGTCGAATACACTCTCGTGGTCACACCCATACATCCTCGCACAGAAAAACTCTTTCATCGTTTCATCAACCTCGAATGATCGGATTGTGAAACTTTGTGCGATGTCTTGTACGAACTTCAGTGGTCCCGGACGTATAACTTGTGCCATAGCACTCTGCAAAGAAGGAACGATGCTCTCAACGGAAAATGCGTCCAAGGTACTGTCTCGACCTCGCAAAAATCCATCAAAATCTAACATAAGGCTTCGTTCGGCGGTTCCAGTCGCACAAAGCTGTGATCCGGCTGATGATAGGAGTTGACAGTAGCTTGCCAATGCCAGAATAATGCCGGCGAGCTCCGGTGCCTGTCGACGGGATCTTGCTGCTTCTTGAAGCCCCTTGAGCACCTTTATTCCATCCGCAGACCTTGCCCAAGCCTCCATCTCCCGGCGTTCTAAGCCTTTGACTGCGAGCCAGAGGAGAAAGGACCAGGTATCCTGGACCTCATTGATATCGGTGAACAGCGAGGTTTGATGGACTTTGTTAATAGAATTGGAGAGTTCAGCGGCTTCACTTGGATTCAGAAGCAACATCGGCCATGTCGAGATTGCTCCCTACAGATGTTCGTCAGCCGCTCGTTTGTATGGAGTGCTAGCACAGCTTACCAGTGTACTCGGTGGCAGTAGCATAGGAAGCGACTGGACTTCTTTGAAAAGTTCCTCGTGGTGAATCTGTAGATCTGGTTCTCGGTTGCTGACGAAAGCTGCGATGGTTGCGAGAAGGCCCAGGGGTTGATGAATGACTGAATCAGGCGAGGGCACAGGTGAGCGAAGATCAATGACTTCCTTACACAGCTCAATGTTTCTTGCCATTCTAAGAGTGAGGCTGATTCCAGAGTAGGATCTGTTGAGGAAAGTTCTGCAAATCAGGATATTGTCTGCAAAGCTGATGGTCGAAACTAGGTCGCCAGAGTTGTCCTCATCGACAACACCACTGGCCAGCTCAAACAGGCAGCGAAGGATCGCTACGGCATGGAGTTCCATTCTGAGGTCACTTGGTGGTGCTTTCACTCTCCAATTTAGCGTCTCCAACATTGTTGTCGTATGGAACTCCAGACCGGGGGGTTCGGCGTCAATTAGCAGTCCACAGAAGAGTAGGTTGCGAACGAATTTCGCCTTCGTATTGGAGTCAGAAACCTGTTCACCGTCAGCGTCTAGCACGTTCTTCGTCGAAGACAATGTCTTTACTTTCACGTCGTAGTACAAAGCAGCCCACTTCAGAGGTGAAAGTGGTATTGGGAAATACTGACGCTCCACGAAGCGGAACGACTCTTGAGCACGATAACAGTAGTATGTCATCAGTGGTCTACCACCTTCGTCCTGAATCTTTCTAGTCGCTTTTGCAAGCTGTCGTAGAGTCACCACTTCGGGGTGGAAAAGACTTAGGAAAACGGCTTAGATTTCTACGTGCAAGATTGCCTTGTCCGAAACGAATAAATACGTATTCTGAGAAAGAATACCCAGCCCAACCCAAAAACATACTCCTTGGTCGAGACTGCTTCTGGTAAAGAATCAATTACCCCTCACTTTGTGAAGAGGTGCGGCTGACATCGTGACTGAGCCAGAATCAGAATCCACAATCAGCTTGACGGCGAAAGAGCGATTGCCGAAGTCAGCAGATGCTCCGACTAACGACCAATAGTCTCACCTGTTCAACACTGCCGCTTCACTTCGAAAGTGGCTTGACCACTAGATTTATCCTTTAACATGTCTACTTTGACATAAAAACGCCAGAACTGGCACGAGGAGCTCGAAAACATCAAATGGTTGTTCAACACAGCGAGAGAGACTGTGTTTCAGTGTCGAAGTAACGAGGAGGCACACTTGTTCGATGATTTGGACCTCGATATGAAGAATTTGAAAGAGACAGACATTACAGAGTCTGTTCGCAACTTCATCACTAAGAGTGATGCCGAATTACGAAGTTTTCGCTGGACCAAATGTCAACAGAAATATATCACCAGACTGGTTGAGCTGCAACAGCGCCATGAAGATACGGTTCGGCAGCATCATTTAGTCTTTCCACTACCAACAGCCCAGTGGATCTCCTCGTTCTCGGACAATTCGATGGAGCCGTCTCTGAAAACTTATTCTCTGTCTCTGGTGCTTCCCACCTCGACACAGCTCCCCAATTCAACTCCGCTTGAGCAGCTACCATCTCAGCTATGGTCATCCGCCCAGGCCCAGCAGCCGATCGTTCGTGGGTGAATCGTGAACAAAATCTGCTCTGGAGAGCGCTGGTGAAGAGCTTCCATTATGAACACACGTTGAACCTAATTTAGACCATGGTCCTTTCCGATGGTAGTCATTGAGCGCCGTGTACACTGATCCAGCTCGCCATTTGGCGCCATATTGGGCGTTGGCAAAATATGGAACGGGCACAAGAGCACTAGCTCAACCAAAGAAACAAAACGACATTCCTACAACAAGTTCGTTGCTCCTACAGAACTGGCTTACCTTGTTTGCTTGCATTGCTGTTTGGAAGTGCTCCCTGTCTATCCCCAAAGCCTGCAATATCTGGTCCCACACCAAGGTGCTGGGTACAACCAAGCCAGCCATCTCACTGGAGAACAACTCCAGGATGTTGACATTCACGTTCTTTAAAACGTTCGAATCAATTTGAAGAGCTAGACGATCGTTCCCGGCCGGCCATGGGTCTCAAGGCATTAGTCCCAGAGGCCCAGTAAAGGCTGGCCAATTCCCATTGCTTTTGACACTCAGGGTCGTTTTCAATCAACATGGTTCATAAATCAGCAATGCCCTCGTCCAGCTCTCTCCTAACTCACCGATGAGTAGCCAGTTTGCTTAAGCAGTCTTCAGCAAAGATTTTGAGATCTGGCACATGCTCGCGGAAGAAGTCCATGAGGCATTGTGCTGTGGTAATCAAGGGGAGCATGCCGTCCCGAGATGTTGGCAAATAGTTACACAGGCGATCCAAAAAAACAACTGCACGCATTCCCACGCCTCGCCTAGCGCGGCTTGGTATTTAATTTGTGTATGTTCGGGCACCGAAGCATAATAAGCAAATTGAGCGACACTTTTCGTTGCGGTAAGAAGATCTTGGTATGGCGTTATGACCTCATGCCATTCGAATGTATTCGCAGGATACACTTTCTGTGATAGTTTCACTTCCGCCTGAGATGTAGAGCATTTTTCTTTTGATTTGAAAAGTTTTCCCAAGGAATCATCCGCACTCGTATCGTTGGGTATACTCGATGTATTCATCGCGGCGAGACACGGTAGGTGGACTCGGGCTCAGCCGCCTTCGCGTTGCAGGTTGCTTTAGGTACTGCGTGGCTATTGTCTCATCAGCTCAATGCTCTGCGGCGGAACGACAAGAGTTACATACCGTGTTGGTTGTGACCATGGATGCCCATCAATGAGTATAGCCAGGGTTGCTGGAGTTGGGCATCGACCGCTGGATCGCGACATGGTTGTCGCCAAACTGGAAACGGTGAGCATCAGACAGCGTTCTCTGCAGATGTCGTTCAGGAGAGATGGTGTTTCTCCGTGACGCTTGTCAGCTAAGGCGACCGAGCTTTGGGCCGTCAACTCGATGGTTCGCCTGGGCGGCGGAGAACGGAAGGTCACGCTACCAATGCATCGCCGATGGCATCTGCACGGGGGTAGGGTCAGCCAGCCCGCTCGTGCAGGCAGGCAAACGAGTGAGGCGAACCAACAGGCCACAACCACACTGGCACAGTCACGATATATGGTAATTACTCAATTGGTTCAACGCCCACAGCAATCTGTGCCGTGTTTCAATTGGCGGTCTCCTAATCTGGAGCCTCCAATAGCGCTGTCCTTCGAAGCAGCTCCGTTGTTTGGTCCTGCAGCGCGATCTATGCCATCCGTATGTCACGCTGACAGACAGCTTTTGCCGGCCGTTGAAGTAAATGAAAGAAGCAAGTGCATTTCAGCATCAACCTAGATGTCCATTGCTCCGAACTCAGCTGCCCGCGCAACTTCCTCTCAATCCAACAGCCATGCTTCTACAGCATACCCCGCTCAGCGATTGTACTGGAGTTGTGTCAGTTGGCCCCATTTCCCCTGTGATTCATGAGTTACCACCACACAATCTTCGCATCGAGCGCCGTGCACGTTAACCGAGCCAGGGCAGTCGATGCCGTGCTCGTACCGGTTCAGCAAGGATAATGATCCATGGTGAAGTGACGCTGTCGAGTTGAACAAAGGGCAAAAATGGACCGTGGCACGTGGATGATTACAAGTGCTGTAGAGCGTCAATTGCTATGTTTGCTCCAGGTGCCGTGGTATTGGTCCTACCTGATACCAGCTGGTCGCCGGATCTGCAGGAACAGCAATGATGAGCCGAAGCCCGAAAGGCATCAAATTGGAACCTTTCTCACGATCATCGGTCAGCCGAACGCCCGTACAGTGGTCAATAGGTTGGGCCGTAGTCTCACAAATCCACGTTGTAAGAGGTGTTCGACCTCCCAAACAGTGTCGGTGCATCCCCGACGTAGCACCATTACTGAATTATGTGCAGGCATTTGTAAAGACCGCTAGTTGACTAAATACTACAAATGAACCTACTTGATTAATTGACGATTATCACAAAGCGTGGAAAGATACTGAGAAAGTACGTCGTGCACTGGCTGACCGATTGAGCCAATCAGAAACCGCCCCCAAGCAATGGGGGCGTAATTTGATTGGCTCAAGCCCATATGGCTTGGAATAGGCCACTCCTTGAGTAGCATATTGAGGTTACGTGCAGGCATGAGGCCTCAGTTGGAAACGAAGCGAAAGGTCCGGCACATAAATACGGCTTCCACCCCCTTTCATGGTTCAGCGTCAATTCTTTCTTAACCAACACCCTACCACCACCATGCCCCCGCTAAACCCTCCTATCGACCCAGGACACAGGAGGAAGAGCAAAAACGACGCGTGGCGCTGCAAACACTGCAAGCGCCGGGGCGATGAAGTCGTGAGCGAGAAGAATGCAGCAACTGGTGACTTCAAGGGCGAACATCTCGTCCACGAAAGACTGTGCCAAGGCCTCGACCAAGACGGCCATCCACTGGGTCTCCCCGCCATTTGCCCTGCCTGCAATAGGGTCATAGGCACCAGAGACCGTAAAGACCGGGAACCGACTCCAAAGATGTGGATGAACCACTGGCTGAGATGCCAGCCAGCTTATCCATTGACCGACAATTTCACGCTACGCAACATCCTACAGATGTTCAGCAAGTACCTCCTACCCACAACTGACATGAATGCAAAGTTTGGTAACATTCTGTCACGTAAAGTGGCTCTTGATGACGACAAGCATCTACTTCATCTTGAACAACAATGGAAAAGGGATGAATTAACAGCTGCAAAGGGCGCAGACGACGTCATATCCCAATACCGCTCAGATTTTGCGTACGTCAGGTTTATCTTGTTCTATATGTGTCCAGAACGCGCCCATAATTTCAAATGATGTTTCGCTAACTCAGGCGTCCTCTGTCATTCAGGGATTTCTTTCAAGGCGCCGTGCCTCTCACTCTTGAGGCCCACGTGTCCAGCGTGAAGCCCCAAGACGTCGTCAGCGCCATCCGACGGCTCACCAGCCATAAAAGCGTTGCCTCTCGGAGCATTGCGCGGCTAAGCGACGCTCAGATCACGGCATCCAACGTTGCCTTCATTCAAGGCGCTTATGGAGCAAGCGTCGGACCGCTGGTATGTCACTAGTTGCTCGTGTTTCCGCTGTACATATCCCTTACAGGGGCTGACATCGTCGTAATATACCAATAGGCCACACATTCCCCTATCGCAGCGCACGCAAACGTCTCATCAGGCCCTCCGCCAATGCTACTTCGGAGAACGGATCTTGAATATTATCGAACCCTTTTATCCATACTCCGCAAATACAAAAAGGAGAGGGCTATCTTTGGAGTGATGGTCGAGATGGTCTCCTCGTCCACCGGTGAGGTCCTGACCCAGTCTGAATGGGAAAACGTCAGTCAAGCGTGTAATTCACTCAGTCTCTACCTGATAGTCGACGAGGCCCAGACAGCGATTCGTTGTGGCGCGCCTTTTGCACACCATCTAGAACCCTACAAAAACTATCGTCCTTCTTTTGTTCTGTTTGGAAAAGGTCTCAAGGCCAGCGGCTTGGCTATGTACCCCGACGGCGTCACGGTCTCTAAGCTTTCCCTCACCAAAAAAATGTTGCAACAAGCTTTGTTGAGCTTCCAGCAGACCAGCGCCGAATTCTTCGAGCCTCGCCATCTTCTCAGTGCGTGGGCCGTCATTCGGCTTGCGAGAAAAGAAAATTGGCCGCAGCGAGCTGTGACCATCGGCACCAACCTGCGCCTCATTCTAGAAGAAATAGCTCCCAACCGACCAGCCCCGCTCGGCTGTGGGGCTTTTCTCTTCCTCAGTCGTACTGCAGCTGCCAAGACGTGCGTCACCGGGGCCAGTGCCGGTGATACGGTCGTTCGGTGGCTTCCGTTCTTGGATTCCGGTATGGAAGACTATAATAAGGTTCGCTCCCTGTTTGGCCCGAGTTCCCAGTCGATGCGGAAGGATCTGGAAGACATATGCCGATATTGTGTCGTATGCGGGGATGTGGCTCCTGGGGGCCTGTCGAAGAGTTGCGGTACTTGCAAGGGCGTTATATGTGAGCCGTGTATCGACGAGAAAGCTGACATGGTGCCGCGGCATGAGGCTGGGACATGTCTCGAGCTCCTCGGCTCAGCAACTGAAGTACTGAGTCATCGTACGGATAGCCTCGGCGTCAAAAGTATGGAACCACCAAGTAAGAGGCGAAGAAAGAATAGCGCAACAAATTAGTTGGACGCCGATAAGAGTATGAAAAGGAGGGTGTAGTAGGGGGGCTCCGTACCAAACACAGCGGCATCGAATCCGAGGCATTATAGATACCATCTTTGAAGTTTGTTGCCGGCCTTATGAGTATATTCACAGGAGAAATGGCCCCTTCCTATCACAAGCTACCGGTGAATAGGACGAGAACGATCAACGAAATATAGTTGGCGTCGTGAGAAGAATGGATACAGTCGTGGTAGAGCAAGGACAAACGATGATGCTGGTAGTTTGGGTTTGATTACATTGTCTGCAACCTCGAAACGCATCGCAATATTACCGATATCATCGTCTGTGGGTTTGTCATCCAAGACTGCTCCGAGCGGGCCGAAGCCAGATTCGGCTTCTCTGTGTAATCAGGCTCCCATTTCAGGATACCCTGATTACGGTCATCCACGTACAAGGCCGAGCGATCAACTGTTCGTGGGCGGACATCTCACGGACCGCACTGTTGCATTGAGGAGCCATGCCATCTTGATTACCATTTATGTACACATCCATCCTAGTCCAGTCCTCTTCGTGCCTGGTGACATTTCTGATTTCCACGAGTTCGACGGTCCAGCTTATCGATTGTACTGGAGTCCTGTCAGCGGTGGACCCACTTCCTCTGTAAGCATTACCTACCACTACACAGTCTTCGCAGCGGGCGCCGTGCACGTTAACCCAGCCAGGGCAGTCAACGCCGTGCTTGTATCTGTTGACGCATGGATACGGTCCATCGTGAAGTGGTGGTGACGAATTCGAAAAAGGGATTGTGATGAGCGGATGATTCCAAGCGCTATCACCGTCTGAGCGTCAATGGCTATTTATATTCCGACGATAGCACTCTAGCATTCGACTTAACCCTGACAAAGGCATTTACAATAGGGCACCTTGTACCAGTCACGCTAAGAATATGTTGCGCATCGTAGCGTGGCCTTCTGCGCCAGTTTCTTGCGTAAACATTTTTAGTGCTATCTGCCTGGCCCTTCAACCAATCAAACAGAACAAGTCCGCTGATGCTTGCTTTCCATGCCGATATCCTCTTCGGCTGGCCTCTTTGGCGCTCTTGGAGACGGCTCATGTGATCCCTCCACCGTCGGAGCACCGGCTCCTGTTGCTTCTCCCACGCAAGGCAATTCATCTCGTACTTGTTGAGAGCCTTGTGCTTCGTGTTCTGGTTTTTGGCCCATGAAATGGTGGCTAAGGCTGTCTTAGATCCCGTTTACGAATGAGCAGAGAGTGACTTACAAAGGGAAGTAGATACGGTTCTGCCGGTCTTTGAGGTGGCTCCTTATCGTGACGCAATCAAGGTCGACCTGTTCTGGTACTTCCCCCAATCCCCTTACCATGCGGTCCTTGAACATTCCTTCCGGATCGCCGGTAATGACCTCTTCCATGAAGCGGCCTATCTTTTGCCCCATTTCATCCCGCTGCCATGGGTTGGTAGGCACTTTGATAACTTCATGTTTCAAAACGTTGAATCCAGCCGCCTTCATCATCTCATCGTACTGGGGCACGATACTGATTGGACGCTTCAGCTCTGCAGCCGCTGTCGTGTGGCGTTGGAAGAATTGAAATACAGGGTCATTGTGAGAGCATGTGCCATCAGCCCGTTGGGGAGAGAGGTCAAAGTCCGCCACCTGCAAAGTCCCGCCTGGCTCAAGGTGCCTGGTGAAAGCACCCGTCAGTCAGAGTCAATTTTGGAAAGAAAGAGACGCACTTGTAAGCTTCTCTGATCACACCTTGTACGTCCTTGAAGCAACCAGCGGTGCCAGTCATGCGGACGAAGTTGAACTTACGACCAATCCACGGCTTTTCGACGTCGTCAATCTCGAAAGTGCAGTTAGGGGGGACTCTGACCGTATTAGCCAAGCATCTGACTCTGTCTTGTCGTCCACCTACATATTGGGTTGAATAGCTCGAAGGTCGATACCCGTGACCTGGACTCCAGGAAATGTATCCGCTGAACCTGTCAGCCGCTGAAGATAGCAACTTTGCGTCACTTATTACCGTATCCAATAGCCCATGTTCCCAGTCCCGTACCGATTTCCAAAACTCTACCCTGATTTGTGCTTGAGTGAACAGCCGGCCGGAAGTGTTGTTCCCCGAGGAGAAGGCGGAACAGCTCGTACTGATACTCTAAAACTTCTTAACAGGGTCTGAAGAGGGTACCAGAACTTGCCCCTTACCTAACCGTTGTCTGTCACGCTGAAAGATCGTCAGCCTGTATCTTCGAGCGGTTTCAAGGAGATTACCTCATCTGTCGGACAAAAATAGGCTGCTAACTTTCAGCTTCTAAATCATACAACTGGATGACACCGGTGAGCACATACAGTTTTCAGCCCATACACTGAACGGTCGGCCATATTTCAACTTTTCTTGCTTTACCTCCTCGCCAACACTCGTAGTGTCAGACTGTGCGCGCATTAGCTCAATGCCCTAAGGGTCACTGTTGTGTCTCTAAGTATGGGCCTCACTCACTTCGCCGGAGTCATCGAATTCGTCGATATCATCGCCTTGAGTAAAGCTGTGGGGAGGTGACGACCCGGGTAAGCATCGTACATAAAGCAAAGCCGTGGCATGACAACTTGTTTTTCACTGAGAAAATAAAGTCCTCTAGATCGCTGTGGTATCCGATACGGAGAAGTTCTGTGAGTGGACTCGTCATCGTAAGCCGGCTGCAACGGCTGCTCGGCTCCGTCGCCACCCTCAAATACATCATTGGAGATCGCGACATGCTTTTCGTGTTCTGAGTACAATAATGTGAGTAGTTTGAGGCATTTTATTCCCAATATTTGGCTTGAGCATAACGTAGGGTCAGGGGCTCAGGTGGCGGCCGGCCCCTGCGGGAGTGACGTGAAAGTAGGAACATGTCACCCCGCAGCCTTTGAGAGCTGAGACGTAACACTAATAAAAATGCGGCATTTCGTATTTCTCTAGTGTAATCATGAACATTCATGCCTGGTAATTTCGATTGCTCTGAAATCGAAGAATGTCCTTCTATCGATGGTCCATCTCTACACAAGCTGGATACAAGTGGCCAAGGGAACAAAAACAAACGCCCGAATTGCATGCTCTCGTGTGGAAGTTCACACCGTGACTCGAACCAAGGCTTTTTTGGTATCAACTCGGGGACGTTAGAGGTTGGAGGACGATCTGGCGCCAAGTGGAGTTCATAGCTTTGGAGAGCGCTTCCATGCAAGTCGGATATTTTGCCGCTCTTGGAAGTTGTGGCGACAGCGGGATTTGACGGCCAGTGAGAGACTTGATGCGGAAGTTTGTCCCCTAGTTCAGACGCAAGAACGAGAAGTACCTGTGCCATCACCAACGGGTAATGACCCAGCAGCTGATGCGCATCATGTGACGACAGCCTGAGAATTAGATATCTTTCTGATCGGAATTAAGGCCTTGACATCGAAATTGTCAGCCAGAGCACGACGTGAATTGAGCTGAGATTGAAGCAACCAATGCAATATGCATGGACTCGGGTGCTTTACTGGGTCATCCGGCATAGAACCCTTGTGGAACTGCAGCTCAGCAGATTTGTGCCGCATTCAGGCGCGTCAGTTTAGCTAGATAACCTTCAAGAAGTCCCCAGACTTTTGGGCCATGACACATCTACTGAGGGGCATCCCATCGCAATTTCCGCTCATTCATCAACAATGATAGCGGGGTGTGATGGCATGGGCGGAGGCAACGAATACTAATGAAAATTGAGTTGCTAACACTGTATGGTGTCCTGCTAGGTCAGGCGATGCTCGCCGACGACTTTACTGTGCTTTGTTGGGGCTTAGTGGCAACATTAGCAGATGACCGTCCGCCAGAGGCATATTACAAAGGGCCACTGCTATCCGGTAAGTCTTCAAGTCACAGATCACAAAGTCAAGTCTGCCGATAAAAGCCAATGCTGGTGGATGTCCATTAGTGCTTGCTTCAGCCAGGTAGAGCTCAGACTGTACTCAGCAGCCGGCTACAGTGGTCCATCAGCGGCCTTTGTAGCTGAACGCACATATTGGCACCCGTGGACCTTTTTGTCCGTTCTGTACGGATTCGTTCCAAGTACGTTACCGCCGAAGTCCAATAGACCCTGCGTCATTAGATGGGGCTCACCGTGTCACCGTCGCGGTCGAATCACCACCATCCCCTGAATACGACGACAGCGGGTCTGATGAACCTACCAGGGTGTTGGATCTTTTGCATTTGTTACAACTGTTGGTTTCTCGTAACGGGCGTAGAATTCGATTGTCTTGGACACGACGTAGGGTCAGGGGCTTGTGTGGAGCAGCCCTCGCGGTGGTGGTTGAAGCGTGATGTGAAAGCCTCATGCTGAACCAAACTACCCCGCTCTTCGGATCAAACGAGTGAGCCGAGTTCGGCAATAAATCTTCAGGGGACCGAACTTTTATTGAGCAGACGCCCAGACCGAAGTGGCGAACATTTCGGTCAAACTGCCTCCAATCAACTCTCAACTTGAGGACCAAGCATCATGGCTTAGGAGGAATACTTCGTACGCCGCAGCAGCATTCGTGCTGGCGAGTCAGGGTAAGGAGGTAGTTTGGGCAAGTGTCGGTCGTTTCTGTGGCCTTCTTAGTGAAGTTGTAGGTGCTCCAGATCCTGAAGCGTTCGCAAGCTGAAATGGACAATCAATTTCCAGAGGTAATGGAATGAACATCTCGACGGCTTGTGTCCGACTGTACCCTTGAACAATACGCGCTCCCTTTCATGTCTTGTTCTGTGATCACATGAGGAATGTCTCTGCAGGAAGCAATGCAAAGGCAGGGGCCTTGACAATTGGGTACCTGCTTTGGTTGGCATCGCCTGATAAGGAGTGTACGCCGGACCATGTTCGAATGGAGGGTACCAGGATTTGAAGGGGTTGGGTTCCTCAATCTCTGTGAGAGTCAATTGGTGTAGATAGTCTCCAGAGATAACGCGATGCTGCAGGGCTCCCATGGGGCTTGCCAGCTCGGCATTGTGTTCGATAAAAGTGATGTGTGGCCTCTGTGAGACGTGTGAGCGAGTGGCCGGTGGTGTTGCTTTGGTAGTACTTTAGCATTCAGGGGCTCGAGAGACTCGTGTTCCAAGCAGGCTACTATGCCGTTCTCTACCACGTTGTTCCCTCCTGCACTGTCATGGACCGAACTTGGTCAGATGAGAGGGATCGAGGTCACGCCACTCTTGTGCGCAACATTATCGAGCAAGCTCGATGGCTAAGGTTGCAGATGCGAATCCATCAGTAATGCCTACAAACCACAGAGAAAGCTTCCAGCACGTGGCCGCTGACGGCTTCAGGGATGGAAGGACGTCGTAGCCTGGTGATCACTGCCGGCGCAGAACTCGTTCACGCGACGAGAACACACCCGTCTGACCTTACAGCTGCGTTCCCGCAAGGCACACACACACAGTGGTTCTGGTAGCAGCACTTCACTTCGCTGATTTTAAGCGGCTTGATGAGGCAGGTGGCATTGAACGTAGACTGAATGCTACGCGTTTCAATTCATTTCCAATATTTGCGAGGCGTAACGATCAGAGCATGCCTTTGATTCACATAGGCCTGGTTCGCTTGCATACAAATTCCATCGCAATTAACAGCTATCAGCGCAAGGCGTTCCACGGGGAGCTTATTCAACTCTCGTCCAAATTCCTATGCGCTCCGTTCCCATTCCGAAGCCTGTGGCCGCGGTCATTCAATACAGCAGCAGTTGACCGCCCTCTCGTGTCCGGGCTGACGGAGTTTCGCGCTTGAGTGACCCTGATGGCGAGCAAGATGGACCACCGCGCCAAGGGAAGCATTTCATGCTATTCTGTCATCCCAAACCTGCCCGCAGGCTGTCCGTTCCTTTGCCACAGAAAGCTCATCTGCAGAGGCCTTTGGCGGAGGGATCAACCCCCCTGAAACCCAGTGATTCTGTGGCTAAGCGCAGCAAATGCTAGCCGCTGAGGAGAATAATTTCAGTGGACATATTACATGACTTTCGTCTCTTTCGGGCTGAGCAGCCCGGGAGTTGGCCCTGAAACTTAGCACCGTTTCTCTAGCCTGAGTGCTGTGAGTGGGTTGTGATGAGCATCGGCACCCCACGAATAGGGCAATTAGGGCTTATTTAACAACCTCTACGGTCGGTGCCATGTTTTCGGGTTCCAAAATTGTATCCTTGATGACTGAGATCAGACGAGTTGGCCATTGGCAGTGCTCTCCAGCGTGAGATAAGGAGTTTCGGTCATGACATCCATCACCAGCTTCAACAGAGTCATGTCACTTAGGGGCGCTGACTTTCAGATGAAGCACTGTTGTTCACGATTTTCCTTCGAGATTGCCTTAGGATAAGTACTTCTGCATCACTTCATATTATACAACATGTACCGGCAACCACCTGACGGTGGCAGAGCGTTCATTATGTTCACGTTAACACCATCAGGACGGGCTGTTCCTCATTCTATTTCGTCACATACCAACGGGAGTGTTGTTACTGTGTCCATC